TGAACTACTACAAGCCAGGCACAGGTGGCTCACACCTGTAATTCTAGCTATGCAGGAGGCTGAGAGCTGAGGATCAAGATTCAAAGCCAGCCCAGGCAGACAAATCTGAGAAACTCTTATTTCTAATTAACCAGCAACAAAGTCATAAGTGAACATGTAGCTCAGGTGGAATAGTGCCAGTCTTGAGAAAAAATATAAGTAAGAGTGCGAAAGTAAGAGTGTGAGGCATTGAGTTCAAGCCCTAATAATGGTACTAAAAACAAGCATACAACAACAAAACAAATATGTATATAACCCACAATAACTCACTATATACAATGGAGGTAAAATCCCAGTAAGCATTGTGCAGATCAGAATTTAAGTTAAAATAAAAAGAGTCAGGGCTGGGAAGGTGGCTCAGTGGTAAAGCACTTGCCTTGCATGCAGGAGGCCCTGGGTTCGATTCCTCAGCACCACATAAGCAGAAAAAAAAAGCCAGAAGTGGTGCTGTGGCTCAAGTAGTAGAACACTAGCCTTGAGCTGAAGAGCTGAGGGACAGCACCCAGGCCCAGAGTTCAGGCCCACAACCACCCCATTCCCCCCCAAAATAAGAGTCAGAACTATGTCTTCTATATATACAGACTATGACACTGAAAGAGCTGTTAACTATCTTAGGGAAAGAAGGAGTCTAAGGCAGGGGTGGGAGGAGATCTAATACACTTTTGTATGTTTTGAACTTTGAACCATGTGAATGGAATATCTTTTTTTTTTTCTTCTGGTGGCAGTGGAGATTGAATTCAGGGTCCTATACTGGTTAGGCTAGAGCTCTATCACTTAAGCCACACCCTCTTACCTAGTCCTCCTACCTTTTCCTCTTGCATAGGATTACAGGGTGTACCACCACATCTTGATTGCTTTTTGTTTTTGTTTTGTTTTTGTCAGTCTTGGGGCTTAAACTCTGGGCTTGCTGCACTGTCCCTGAACTCTTCAGCTAGTGCTCAAGGCTAGGCTCTACCATTTAAACCACAGCACCACTTCTGGTTTTTGAGTGGTTAATTGCAGATAAGACTCTCACAGGGAATTTTCTGCCCGGGTAGCTTTGAACTGCAATCCTCAGATCTTAACCTCCGGAAGTAGCTAGGATTACAGGCATGAGCCACTGGTGCTGGCTTGTTATTGTTTTGCTGGTTCTGGGGCTTTTAATCTGGGCCTGGGCGCTGTATCTGAGTTTTTATGTTCAAGGCTAGTGCTCTACCACTTGAGCCATAGCTTTACTTCCAGCTTTTTTGATGGCTTATTGAAGATAAGAGTTTCACGTACTTTCTTGTATTGGTTGGCTTTGAACGACAATCCTCAGATCTCAGCCTCCTGAGCATCTAGAATTACAGGCATGAGCCACCAGTGCCTGGAATCCCTGCCCTATTTGTTATTGTTCTTGTTGTTGTTTGTTTTGTCAGTCATAGGGCTTGAACTCTGGGCTTGGGCTCTGTCCCTGTGCTTTTCAACTCAAGTGGAGTGCTCTACTGCTTGAGCCCACAGTGCCACAACTGGTTTTCTAGTGGTTTATTGGAGATAAGAGTCTCACTTACTTTCCTTGCCTGGGCTGGCTTTGAACCGTGATCCTCAGATCTCAGACGCCTGAGTAGCTAGGATGACAAGCGTGAGCCACTAGCACTTGGCTCCTGTCTTGGTTTTTTGAGATAGGATCTTGTTACCTGTTTACCTGGGCTGGCCTTGAGCCCTGATCTTCCTATCTCACTTTTTTTTTGGAGGGTGGGGATGGGGGAGTCAGTCGTGGAGTCTACACTCTGGGCCTGTCCCTCAGCTCTTCTGCTCAAGGCTAGCACTCTATCACTCCCGGCTTTTTTCCTGCTTACTTGGTGCTGAGGAATCAAACCCAGGGCCTCGTGCATGCAAGGCAAGCTGAGCCACTTTCTTAGGCCCCCCTTCCCCAATCTCACTTTTTTTTGGCTGGTCATGGGGCTTGAACTCTGGGCCTGGGCGCTGTCCCTCAGCTCTTCAGCTCAAAGCAAGCACTCTACTGCTTGAGACATAGCACCACCTCCAGTTTTCTAGTGGTTTATTGGAGATTAGAGTCTCACAGACTTTCCTGCCAGAGCTGGCTTTGAACCGTGATCCTCAGATCTCAGCCTCCTGAGTAGCTAGGATTATAGGCGTGAGCCACGGGCACCGGGCCCCAGTCTCACTTTTTGAGTAGTGGGGATAAGAAGTATGTTTCACCACCTGGAATATCTCTTCACAAACATTACACTTGAGGAATAGAAGAAACAAATTATGCTCATGAAATGGATAAAGAGATGTATTGTCCTTCAAGTCTGTCTAGAAGTCCCCTTACAAAGTTCTGAAAAGAGTTTATCAGATCAGCCAGGTGGTATCTGCCCTGTCCTATTTTTCTGTCCTTTGATTTTTATAAGCTAAGCCAGAATCCTTCTTAGAAACCTACCTTGCTAAGTTTCACAGTAGGATAATAGAAGTTCTCCTTTGCTAGAGGTAACTTGACTAGGTAATTTTCCTACTTCTCCCAAGCTGGGACTGAATTATGATATTCCCAACTTTGTATTATCTGCAAACTCCTAATCTTCTATAAAACTGTCCTGTGTTGGCATGTTTCATTTGCTAGGTATCCAGCAGGTATTCATCCAAATTAGAAGTGTATCAAGGGACACTGGACTGGAGTTTGTGGGGAACCACACTGTGTAGAGATGGCAGAAGAGTTTAGTTTCTCCAACCCCAACAGAACTCTGAAGGGAATGACAGTGATTCACAGACAGTTTGGATAGTATTGGGTACTACCTGTAGGGTGATGATCATTACTGACTCCTGGGAATAATTGAGAACTGATTCAGTCTTGGAAAAATTCAATGTGTAGTCATGCTGTTGAGAGAGTCTATCACTTGCCCAGACAGTCATTGCATACTGTACCTCTCTGAAAAACATTCAGGCCAAGCCTCCTATGCCTCTGTGTTCATAGGCCCTACTGCCTAGAGGGACCTCTGGAACACCAGGCGGGGGGGGGGGGCATGATACTAGTATTTGTATCACACAATTCACATCTTCCATGTTTTACTTTTCTGAGTTGTAAGACAAATCCCTCCTCTCTGACTTCCAATGGATCCTAAACTGCCTTTTCTTTTTCCTTGTCTGCTTTTTTGTCTTTTTCCTTGTCGTGGTCTGCTTAGGAGCCTTGTTGTCAGGCCAGTTCATATTCCTATGTTCTCTGAAATCATCCCTCATTCTCATTTCACTTTCACTTGCCTATACCTCAGCCTTGAAAGCTACATTCAAGTTTATCCTCTGCTACAATCTTTTAGTTTGTAATGCTTTGATTTCTTATTTTGTTCCGAAATGTCTTGATCTCCACTCCTGACCTGTCTGTCTGTGGCCTGGTTCTTGAGATCCTCTTGCCTTAGCTGCTTTAAGCCTTCCTGAATGCTAGGATTACAGGTTTGGGTCCCCATACCTGGTTAAATGATGTCTCTGAAATATCTGAAACAAGTCTTTGTTGTTTTGCTTGGGACCCACAATCAAGTGACTTGTTCACAGCTAGATGTACTTGTTTATACCAGCAATTTCAGCAATTCAGAGGTTGAAAGAGGAAACCTTCAAGTTCAAGGCCAGCCTGGAATACATAGTAATACTCTGTTTCAAGAAAAAGTGACTGGTTTCTAGAGCCCTAAAACTTCAAGTGATTTTCCCAAATCTAAGCTAGGACTTTCCATTTGGACTGATTTCTAAAAATCTGGTAAAGCTGTGCACCAGTAGCTTACATCTATAATTCTAGCTACTCAGGAGGCTGAGATCTGAGGATCGAGGTTCAAAGCCAGCCCCGGTAGGAACATCTGTGAGAGTCTTATCTCCAATAAGCCACCAGAAAACTAAAAAGGGTGCTTTGGCTCAAGTGGTAGAGGATTTGCCTTGAGCTGAAGAGCTCAGGGACAGTGCCCAGGCCCAGACTTCAAGACCCATGATTGTCACACACGCACACAAAAATCCAGTAAATACGAGCTGTAAGAATTCTAAGATAAACTTCCTTAACAAGGCAAGGCTAAAAATAATAAGGGAGATTATCAACCAGGATAGATATCAACTGGGGAAAATGGGAATGGGAAAACTACCCGAAGGATACTAGTAGTTTTAGAAAAACAGCACAGATGACTATTTGAGAAGTTAATCAATACACCCATGCCTTCCCCAAACCTGAAATATATCAGGAGAAAATGAATTTTGCCAGAAAAGTTATTAAGACTAGAGAGGGAAGACAATAGTTTCAAGTATTCCTTTTCAAAGCTGCAAAAACAGTTAAAATTATTCTTAGTAAATATATCATTACTCTATCGATTTTTTTCTCTGTCTAAACAAAACTGAGAAGAGAATGGGTGTTTAAGAATAGTGTTCACTGAGACCCTTAGTTTGAAATCTGTGGATGAGGAGTTGACAAAGACCAAATGGAGCACAAAATCGTCACAACCTACACACTATCCCGGCAGGATTTGGCCTTACACTCAAACAAACACAGGACATGGCTTACTCAGGAGGTGTCCAGAGAGTATCTGGGACTTCAATATCCCCAGTGTTCGGCAAAAAAGCTGCTTGATCAAGGAGGAACTGAAGGCTTATTTGCTACCATGCCTCAGGGTGTCACTTGGCACCAATAGCTTTGTCCCCACTCTTTCTGGGTCATGCACCAAAGCCTTTGCCCAAGAAACTTTGCAACAAACAAAGCAAAACACTCAGTTTCTCTCAGTTCCTGCTGTTTGGAATTTTTACTCACTTGGACAGAAACAGTCTGGAGTTTACCTTGGAACTAGGCAAGGGGGAAAGGGCACCAACTTTGCTTACAGAGTATTCCAGATACGTATCTCTTTACGTAGTTAACAGATTATTACGAAGCACAAGAACCTATAGTAGGCAATTAGAATATTTTTTCAAAAGATCGTGAATAAAACATTTCTTGATCACAGTTGACAATGGTGAGACTGGCCAGTTCAGCTCAATCCTACCCCAGGCTCACCTCAGAGGAAGCGACCCCGACCTTCTCAGACTCGTACATGAGGGACAGAGACCTGCTGGTGCTGGCGGCTGTGGCCTCGGCCCTGCGCAGAACCTCTTGTCGCAAGTACTGCTGCCTGTCCACAGGAGCTTCGTGTCCACTGGGGAGGTCGCGATTGTCCCTCCATTGGGCTGGCTTGGTTTCCTCGTCCTCCGCGTCATCGTCGAAAGGATTATAGCTTTTGGGGTAGGCAGACATAGTGTCTGTCAGCGCAGGTCTCGAACGCGGAAGGAGGAGGAGCGTGGTCGCCAGTCGCCTAGAGCCACGCCTCGTCAGTAGACTAGACGGCAGCCTCGCGAGCTCCTTCCGCTGGTGTTGCGCCGCAGCCCCGCCTGCGGAGCCGACCATCGCTCCCGAACTCTGGGGGAAACTACGTCCGACGCGCACTGCCGCCGCCTGCATCATGGGTCTGCCTCCCCCGGCAGCAATGGGACCGTCCTATGGCCACGCCCCACCTGGTGCCTGCAACACAGAGATCACGTGTCGGGGGAAGCCGGATGCGCCTGCGCCTGCGCCGTGAAGTTGGGCGCTCGCAGGCCGGGTGTGGAGAGCCGGCGGGCATCGCCGTGGCGCCCACTACGATGGCGGCTACCGCGGCCCGGGGAAGTGGTAGCGGCTCCGGCACCAACTCTGGGCCCAGCGCCTCGCGGGGGTTCTATTTCAACACAGTCCTTTCACTGGCCCGCTCCCTGGCCGTGCAGAGACCTGCATCTTTGGAGAAGGTAACCTCGGCTGACAGGAGGCGGGATCTGGAGAGGTGAAGCGTAGGCGCGACGGGACCTTGGGAGCCCGAGTCGGGAAGTCGCGAGCAGCTTGAGACGAGTGGGGCTCGTGTGTGTGTGTGTGTGTGTGTGTGTGTGTGTGTGTGTGTGTGTGGTGCTGAGTTACGGGCTGGGGGCATCTTGTGACATGGCTGAGGCGGTGTCTGGAATTTGAACACTGTGAGAAGCAGTGGGATGAGACCAGGACCGTAGGGTCCAAATTTGGGACTCGGGTTCCAGTCTCTCTGGGATTCACCAAAAGTGACCTTGGGGAGATGTTTTTCTCGTGTCAGTAGGGGTGCTTTTGCCTGCTTTGCCCCTCTTCACTGGCTTGGGATGAAGGGCAGGTGGAGCACTGTATCTGAAAGTGCTTTCTGACTACGCAGTATTAGCCTCCGAGGTTGGGGGCGTTAGGTTGGGTAAAATGTGTATTTGGGGAAGGCATAGTGGCGTGATGAAATGGTGAACTGTCAGTGGGCAGAGAATTGAAGCCGGGATTGCTTCAAAAGAGAGAGCTTGATGCCAGAGGAATTCTTATTATGATAGAAGGTGAAAGGTTACTCTAAGGTGTGCCTGGGATCGTGGAAAGAACACGAATATAGGGTGATATGTGTGTAATTTGGTCTTTTTGTACATTCTCCTGGAAAAGTTAACTCTCAGAGCTTCCATTTGTCTGTAAAATGTGGTGACGTGTGTGTGTGTGTGTGTGTGTGTGTTGATTCCTAGGGTTTGAACTCAGGGCCTCTCAACCTTTTTTATTTCTTTTTTTTGCACAAGGCTAGTGCTCTACCACTGGATCCATAGCTCCACTTCTGATTTTAATTGGAGATGAATCTCATGGACTTCTCTGATTCTGCTAGTTTTGAACCTCCTCAGTCCTTGGATCTCAGCCTCCTGAGTAGTTAGGGATTCCAGGCAGGGGCCACCCAGGGCACCAGGAATGGTTCTTGATTAAATGAATTCAACTATAAAGTGTCTGGTCCAGTGCTAGGTAGAGTAGGTAAGCAATAAATATCCGCTTCTTTTCTCACCAGTGTTAGTACTAAATAAGTAGGGTGGTTTGTCCACTCAACTTTCCGGAATGGAAAGAGGCTCTTTTTCGATGTGTCAGGAGCAGCAATGACTACAGATCTGTCTGCAAGCAGTTGGGACTGGTTTTGTGCCCTGGGGATAAGGAAAGCAGCAAGGATGTTTTAGGCACTTTGGCAGAGTAACTTTGTTTGGCCTTGTGTATTTTCAAACTTGATTTTTATCACTCACTTGCATGGTGAACAAGTGCTGGGAGACTGACTGATGCCAACCTGACTTTTAATTAAGAGGGAATACATTCTGTACACTTTGGCCTGAACATGCAGTCCCAGCTACTGAGGCAGGAGGAAGCTTGACCCTAGGAGTTTCTGGCCAGCCCCAGCAGTATATAGAGACTATGTATCTAAATATATATCAAGGTACTTAGATACTCAGATGGCTGAGATCTGAGGCTCTGGGTTCCAAGCCAGCACCCAGCAGACAAAACTGAGAGACTCTGATCTCTAATTAGAGAAGAGTGGCTAATAATGGATAACAATGCTGGTTTATTAACTCAGACCCATTCCAACTAGCTGGCACATTCTCTTCCTAGCATAAGACCAACAAGTATATCAAAAGTTTTATTGTTATATTCAGGGAGAAGAGAATACCAGGAATTGGAGGATCTTTAAGAAGTAGATCCTGCAGCTCAAGTAGTGGTTAAGTACCCTTTCTTACTCAGTAACTCTGAAAAGTGCACATTGAGTTTGCTAGTTTTGCATTGTTCACTACTCAGAGCATTATGGGAGCTCTGAGTGTAGCTCAGAGGTAGTATGTCCTAAGTAGAGCTCTTACATTCAATTTCCAGAACACACACACATGATTTTGTTATTGCAACACAGTTAGCTTTGTATCTTATCAAGATTGCTATGAAAAAACTGGGAAAGAAGAAGGGCAGGGGTGACATTGTCCAAAAAGAAATGTAATCTTGGGCTGTGAATGTGACTTAGTGGTAGAGTGCTTGCCTACCACGCACAAAGCCCTGGGTTCCATTCCATTTCACATAAACAGAAAAATCCAGAAGTTGTGCTGTGGCTCAAATGGTAGAGTGCTAGCCTTGAGCAAAGGAAGCTCAGAGACAGTGCCTGGGCCCTTTGTTCAAATCTCCGGACTGGCACACACGAAAAAAGGAAATGTGGGCTGGGAAGGTGGCTCAGTGGTAGAGTGCTTGCCTCACATGCATGAGGCCCTGAGTTCAATTCCTCAGTACCACATAAACAAAAAATCGGAAGTGGGCACTGTGGCTCAAGTGGTAGAGTGCTAGCCTTGAACTGAAGAGCTGAGCTGAGGGACAGTTCCCAGGCCCAGAGTTCAAGCCCCATGACCCACCAAAAAAAAAAAAAAGGAAATGTACTCTTTTTCTGACTTATGTAACTATAAACCCTTTGTACATCACCTTTATAATAACAATAAAAATAAATTTAAAATGATGGCAGTCTGTTTTCCAATTAGTTAATGCTGCCTTATGTTGATAGCTCCCTAACACCACATATTTGGAAAGTATTTGATCTGACTGGCAATATTTATCATCACTCATGTGCAGAAAAGTTAATTGGGGGCTGGGAAGGTGGCTCAGTGGTAGAGTGTATGTCTTACATGCACGAGGCTCTGGGTTCAGTTCCTCAGGACCACATAAGTAGAAAAAGCTGGAACTGGTACTGTGGCTCAAGTGGTAGAGTGCTAGGCTTGAGCTGAAGAACTGAGGGACAGTGCCCAGGCCCAGAGTTCAGGCTCCATGACTGAGAAAAAAAAAAAAAAAAGATAAGTTAATTGAGCAGGGCAGAGGCTACTGTCTTTTATAAGGACTTGCTTGCAAGATTGGCCCATGACCAGAATCTGGGAACTTGGTACTTGAACATTTCCTTCCATTCTCTGATAAGCATGGTTCATTGTGCCTAAACTGTGCAAAACACCTACTTTCCTTCTGGGAACTGGAATGGTACCTATGTAACTATACCTCAATAAAAATCGTTTATTTTGAGTCTTTCATAAACTTCCTGAACACAAACATTGCACATGTATTATTGCCCTTTTTTGCTGTTGTTGTAAGGAAGAAAATTGTTTACCCTTACAAAATGAGAATATAATGAAGTCCATGCATCTGTTTCTCCAGTATAATAAAATTTAGCCCAGAGTACAACTATACCTATGATAGTATTCTTAGAGACTTTCAAGACAAGTTATTTTTGCAGGAGGCTTCTGTAGGTAACCAATCTCATGAAATATATGTGAATTCCTCTCATCTTCATCTAGGTTCTTGACAACATGATTGTGAATAGGGATCAGTGTTAGTATTAAGTCATATACTATATGTCTGCTTATTATATTCCCTGCCTTTAACTATTGACAAGAAGCTCTTAGCATTCCTAGGGAAAAATTCTTTTTTTTTTGTCGGTCGTGGGGCTTGAACTCTCGGCCTGAGTGCTGTCCCTCAGCTCTTCCGCTCAAGGCCAGTGCTCTACCACTTGAGCTACAGCGCCACTTCTGGTTTTCTGGTGGTTTATTGGAGATAGGAGTCTAACGGTCTTTCCTTCCCGGGCTGGCTTTGAACCGAAATCCTTAGATCTCAGCCTCCTGAGTAGCTAGGATTACAGGCGTGAGCCATCAGCGCCCGGCGGGAAAAATTCTTTAAAGAAATTTTTGAGCACCCTTTTGAGATAGCAAAGAGATTTAAGGGGTAAATAAATGTTGAAAAACTAACCTCTCCCATCTTTTTCTTTTCTTTTTTTTCAGAGAAGTGTCAGGACTGTCAGAGGCTTAGAACAGATAGGGTTGGCCTAGGGAAGGCTCATCTTGCTAGACTAGACCTGGTGGCATCTGAGCTCAGATATTGGTAATTAAGGAACTGTGACATACTTTCAGTGGCACTTGAGACATCTAATGACATACCTTCTCTACCTTTGTCCCTCTACATGCCATTGTTGTATTTACATGTTCCTGTCACTCTAATCCTAGAATATGTGTGATACCAAGCCTAGTACTACTTACTAGGTTTTACTTTTTCCTATTAATTACTTTATTATTTTTATCTTTTTTTTGTTGGTCATGGGGTCTGAACTCTGGGCCTGGATGCTGTTCCTCAGCTCTTCAGCTCAAGGCTAGCACTCTACCACTTGAGCTACAGCACCACTTCCGGTTTTTTTTTCTGTTTATGTGGTGCTGAGGAATCGAACCCAGAGCCTCAGGCATGCAAAGCAAGTGCTCTACCACTGAGCCACCTTCCCAGCCCCTCTAATTCTTAAAGCTTAGTTTTTAGTTCTCAATGGATTGGATTTTTTTTAAAGGACTCCCAGAGGTTTCAAGTAACAAAAGCTATACTCTTAAAAAGTTGTGTAATTTGTGAGCTCTGTTAATGCTATTATTGTGGCTTTATTTTGACCTACATACTCTTGGATTTCTGCTTAGTCATCCAGACTTCTGAGGGCTCCTTGGTTTAGCCTCTCCTTAATGGAGATACCTATATCTTGGGTAAAAGTATGATCTGTTCTTTTTTGTGTGTGTGCTAGGACTGGGACTTGAAGTCAGGGCATTGGTGCTATCCCTGAGCTTTTTGCTCAAGGCTAACACTCTACCACTTGAGCTACAGCTCCATTTCTGGCCTTTTGATGGTTAGTTGGAGATAAGAATCTCACAAACTTTCCTGCCAGGACTGGCAGGATCTCAGCCTTCATAGTAGCTAGGATCACAGTCATAAGCCACTGGCTCCCAGCCCATAAGTTCTTATCAGAGTCTAAATAAGGTATTCCTGTAGTTTCCCTATGATTTGTTGGCTTATTGAACACATCCAAGTGACAGGTAGAACCCTTTATGTGTGTGTGATGCTGGAGTTTGTTGTTGTTGTTTTGCCAGTCCTGAGACTTGAACTGAGGCCTAGGCTCTATCCCTGAGTCTCT